TAAGCTTGTTAAGATGAACTAAATCTATCAATGCTTGGCTTGGACTAGGAGCAACATAGTTATTCGACAAATCATGTACCAAACTCCAATTTATATTACCTAAGTTAAAATTACCAATAAAGCACATCATCATCATCATTCATCATCATTACAGCCCTTCACAAGTCCACTGCTGAACATAGGCCTCTATAAATAAAGCACAGGTGTGAATCAAATTTACTTGTTATGACTGAGGTACAATTTTCTACAAAATACTCCAACATTAGCCTGTTCACCGGAGGTGGTAAGTAAACACTGCAAAGAGCTATTTGATGGACAGAGTTTTCAATTTTCAAATCCAAAACCACCCAAATATCTTCACATTTACTTTCCCATTCAAACTTCCGAACCGATTTGATAGTTTTTAGTACCGCAACTAAGAAGATTTAAATAAACGATTTCATTATTGCAACAGATTTTTTTACAACGTTGTCGATATTAATAGGAAAGTTTTTTCAACTATCGATACATCATATTTTTAAGGTTTTTTTCCCAACACTATTTGATAGGAAATAACTACAATAGCCCCGCTTTTTATTTTGACAAAGTTTTTAGAGAAAACTTAGTGGAGCCTCCAGCGTTGTTGTAGACATATAATTATTATCATGATTGCCTTAAAACTTATTCTGTCTGTTATATGATTATATCTTTCATTAGTAAGAAGTAATAGTTGCATTAACCCCTGATATGGGGCTAATATATTTTTTACCGAATTTTAGAATGAAACACAATTTTAAAAAGGCTGTAAGCGTTATGATAATTCATTTACCTGGAAATAAGTCTCAATTAACTGTTTTAGTACGGTTTCAAATTATTGAGATCTTAGTATATTAATTAGCAAGAATATATTACTTTCAACTTGTTTATTTTAACTACAATTACCTCGGGTCACTGCTACTGTTTAAGCTATTAACTGATTATTGAAAAAATCGTGTTACATTGAAAAAAAATATACAGTCGAATTGAAGTTATCATTTTTGAAAACGGTGAAATAATAGATTTCCTGAAATTTTAAGAACAGGGATCGAAGTAAATCTTTCCACAGCTTTGAAAAGTATTCTATGACCGTTTCCATTGTAATGTACCTATGCCAAATATCATTTCCCTTCAGGCGTTTGAGTATGACTGCATGACAAATATCCAAACTTACAAACTTTTTTTTAAGAATAAGTGTGACAAACGAGTACACAGTCTACCCAATGGTAAGTAAATGTCGAAACCTATAAATACCTACATCTATCCTCGATTAAGCATCACAATCTAGATACGTTGTTACCACCACCATTAAAAAGGGTCCCCAATTTTCTACACTTACTACACGAAACACGTATATATTATCCTCCATTGAATCCGCAATTCGACCACAGCCACTTTCAATATTACCTTATTCTCTTTTACGCCGACGTCTTTATATAAATTACGTGTCACGTTGTTTGTCCGCGATGTCCTTCTAAACTACTTAACCGATTTTAATCAAATTTTCACAACGTGTAGTTTGGTTCAACTTGAGAGACAGGATAGTTTTTTTGTCGATAATTGACCCACATTATTTTATTTGCGAATTTAAGGTTTTTTTATTAGACATGACAAAGGGTCGTCGAAAAAGGCAGAACAACGTCTGCCTGGCAAGCTAGTCTTATTATATATAAATTACGTGTCACGTTGTTTATCCGCGATGGACTCCTAAACTACTTAACCGATTTTAATCAAATTTGCACACCGTGTGCAATTTGGCACAACAACCCAAGATAGTTTTTTGTGCCCATGAGGGACCCAAATTTTTTTTTGCGAATTTAAGGATTTTTAATAGGACATGACAAAGGGTCGTCGAAAAGGGCAGAACAACGTCTGCCTGGAAAGCTAGTAAACTATAAAAAGTTCTATTATCATTGCTTTTTTAATTTTAATAAATCCAAGTGTCTTTTTAATAATTACAAAAACACGTACAAGTCAATTATTATTTTTATCTATATAAATATATTTTAATATTTGTGATAATCAATGCACGAGTAACTTGGTTTCATAAAATATACAATTAATATATTTATTACAATGGTGGATACGTGGTAGAGCCATGCTGCAGGTATATTAGTAGTAATATAGTTGTAGCACGAATGAGTCGGGTCCACCGGAGTCCACCGGGGAAGGACCACGCTCTCACAGAATACTACCGTGAAATAGCAGCTCAACGCTGTTGTGTTTCGTATGGTGAGTGTAGAGAAGCGGAGACACTTTTTACTGAAAACAAGACATTAATCTTATCCTCACGGGTGACAACGCATCTGCATTTTGATTCGTAGCCGAGGAAATATGTAGATATCTATGGGCCACAGCAAACACCTACCATCAGGTGGACTGAGTGCTAGTTTGTCGTCTCCGTAACAAGACAGACCAATGTTCAGCAGTTGACCTATGCAGGCTCATGAAGACGAAAAATGTAACACATTTATGCTATCCTAAGTTTATATAAAAATAAAAACAACATAACATATTTTAATTGTCGGTTATGCACCTTGAATATTATCTTTGTTCTGTTAATATAGAAAACAATGATTGTTTTTATCATTAAATCTAATAAACAAATATGTCAATTAAGGGAAACCGATTATAAATTTACTGTATTAAATTAGGTTTCTAGGTACTACTAAGCTCTTTAACGTCGGGGTTTGAAATGTCTTATTTTACTAGAGTAAATAAAACAATTAAAACGACTAATGTTAACTCAGCACTTTTATATACGGTTTTCTTAACACCACGATTACATGATATTTTCTTTAGATTTGTAATAAAACACTTTCCGTCTCGTTTTCAGGGTCTGTTTTAAGGTGTTTTATTTAAAAAGGTACTAAATAATATGCATAAACTCTTTTCACATAAATTCTGTGTTAGAATCAGAATTCGATTACACTTTTTTTAAGGTTGTTGTTTCTATAAATTTCTGTAAAAAATTATCCCCGAAGCTTTTATTTTAGTATTTATTATAATTATGCATTTTAAATATAACACTTTCTTCTATAGCAGCCGAGTGTTCATTTTCTGTTTTGAATAAAACAAACTTCTGAACATCATAAAGCCAATTTTGAGGACATATCACATCAAGTTAAATGAGTTTATCTCAATGACTTGATATCTACGACGTAGCGAGTCGTAGCCGAGAGGCGGTCTCATATCTGAGCCGCCCAACATTTTCGCAGCGAAATGTTCGCCACGCCTCGGCATCTAAATACAATGTTATTAAATTATCTATTTTAGTTAGTAAAGTAAGAATATAATAGTAAATAGTAATGGAAGAATGTCTTAATTATACAATAAAATTAGAACTTAAATCTTACACTTTATATAAGTATGTATATCAATAATTAATTTTCAAAAATAGAACTGTCTTGTTTTATAAATAAACATAATAGGTATACTTGTTTTTGTTTGAATTTTTGAATTAATTGTTAATGATTTACTTTTTAATTCGTGTAGGTTTAAAATTTTACCTTTTAAACCTATTAACAAGTAAATCTGATGGTGCAATCAACTTCAAACAAAGGAGACTGGTAAATGACACTAAACTAACGTCTGAAGACTAAGGTATACATACAAACCTTTAATTATACTGACTCTCATACTCTTTAAACCAGAGCTTTTTAGTGGTAGTAGGACGAGTATGAGGATGATACTTGTACAATCAGCTCTTGAACCGAAAACGACCACCCAACCATCTTATAAATTACATTGTATAATTGTAATATACAATTACATTTTTATTGCGACTACCTTGATTATGCAGTTCGGCTCTATAATATTCACACATTTCAAGAATTTTGAACTTTTATCCCTTGTGATAAGGCTTAAAAGCTTTCTTAAGTGTGAATTATGAGACAATTATTTCGGTAAAACTGTTACTATGCCGTTATTTCAGCAAATTTTAATAAATGTAAATTTAAAGAATTCTTTACAATATATGAATGACTTATGCACCTTTTCCCCGGTACCTAAAGTTACGTGAAGGGATTATATTGTAGCCCCCTCCGCCCGTACAATATCAGATGACGGCCTTTTGTCTTTAACAAGTCCTTCAGCACGTCCCGTCGTACTAACGTCCTTTGAGATTCTATCCAATGAGCAAGTGGAGCACTAAGCGGTAATAGTTTTACAAATAATTTTTTAATAATTAACAGGGATATTGGTTTTCATGATTAAATATTTCACGATGTATGTGAACGGTGCATTGCTATTATTACAGCTATTTGGATGTCACAGGAGGGTGCATTAGGAGTTGTACCCTCCCTCAGACGGGGCCTACCCCAGCTGAATTGAAAATGGGGTTGTGATTCATTTCCCACGAGCCCCACTCGCACTACACAAAAGCCTAAAGCTTTATTACGTTTCAAAAACTCATAGTAATATTTTTAAAGTGATGATTGAACGCATCTGTTCATTTCTGTTTGTGAAACGACATCAAACGTGAAATCCTAGCGAAGCTTGTAACCATACGATTAAAGCTATAATCTCCGCTTCAGTGGTAATTCATTCTAAACACTAGGTCGTTGAATGACTGTTTATAATTGGATGAAAATTATTTTACTGCGGAATGCAATTTATATAACTGTAATTAATTTCTAATCAATAAATGAGATATTTTGCAATTAATGTTAAATTGTGGAGGAATCGATTACTGCTATGATTGTTTTGAAGTGTATCAAATAAGAATGCTTAAGAGTCACAACGTGCAAAACTTCCGTGTTTGATGTAATTTTGCGATATGACTTGTACGTGTGTGTAAGTTTAACTTGGATGCTTATATGTAGGTACGATAGGTAACATTCGAGGAGCGATAAGGTGCGATACGACTGTTTCAGCGACAGCTCGACGCTAGTGCGCACGAGCATTATGTGTAGATTTGGCACTTGCAAAACTGTTATTAATACTGAAAACCGATTAGTGAAAAAAAATGTTAAAAAATATCTCACAAATCCATATCCTCTGCTTTTACTCGTCTGTCTGTCTGTGATAACGACTGCCTCTTCAATGTCCCCATAAACGGCGAAATGCTCCCGTAAGCTTTTGTCCGTCGTGTGATATGGCAGTCCTCCCACGAAGAGCTTAGTCCATGTGGTGTCTTTCTGCCCGGGCAGCGCGCCCAAAGCCAGCAGCCCCTCGGGCTCGGCCGGCAAAGCGCCCGCCATCAACATGCCTTGCACCGCCTCCGTTGCGCCGGCTACCTTGCACTCCCCGAACACTGTCACTGACGCCGCTACTGCGGATCAGTCTACGAGCTAGATTTTAGTGTAAACACTGACTACGGTGCGAGCGAGCGTCTGATTTGATGGTTGCGCGCGGACTGATGCCAGCACGGAGTCGGAGCGCACGTGGCGCTCCGGTACTAATTTTAGCCCCCGCCGCGCTCCCCGCGCCGACCACCAGATGCGACACGGCGCGCGGCCGCCCGACGTCGCCACATGCGTTGCGTGCCCTACTATACTGCCTGCTGCTTCGTACTTGTGCCTGCTACCCTCCATCACTCGCGTAATGATACGCCTCGTTATCACAACTGCTTGTTCAGTGTTTAATTGAAATAATAATAACCACTTAAGTTAACATTCAACTAATTTGTTACTTAACAACTAACTTAATTAACTATTTGAGTTAACAACACAACACATAGTGCACCGATAAGTCGTCGTTTCTTTAGAGAAATCGAATGGAATTTGAATTGAAATTGTATCTTAATTAGTGGATTTCACAGTCATAGAAAAATGCATTAATATTCTAACACTTCTCTGCATGCTATTTAGGAAAATGTTAGAAATTAAAAGTAAAGAAAACTCTGTATTTATTTCATGCTTAGTTGCAGTGTGGCTTCAGCTGAAATGTGTGCCTCATCATACAACCTATTAATAGATACTAAATTACAAGAGACCAGCGTAGACATTGATAAAAATATCGAAAAAGAAGTATAGCAAAAAATGTTAGGTTTCATTTAAAAATTGCGTATCAAGTAGTCTAGTTTGTTCAAAAGATATACGAGTAATGTGCGAGTAATAGTTTAATATCAAACAATAATAAAACAACGATAACGTCATAAAAAATCGACCCACCTGTAATATATATAAATAATTCTCTCTAGAAAACAAGGCCTTTTTGGTTTAGAATTAACTAAGCCGATTTATTAATGCTCAGATAACACTTATTCATAAGATAAATTACGATATAAACAAATTAAAAATCACCGTCGTGAAAAAATAAAATTGTAATTGTTTAATTTGATTCTGTAATATTTTAATTTAAATTTTTTACTTTTATATGAGAAATCTGACGATTGAAAAGTCAGACCATTACCTTATAATATATTGTCTTGTTAAATTCGAGTATAGAAAAAAAATGAAACAACAAAAAAGGTTAAGATTAAAAAAATAAGAAATATATCTACACTTTGTTACGAAATATTAAAAATAATTTGGCATTTTTATTTTTTAGTAGTATTGGTCTTTAGCAGTTTAATTATTGGGCTAAATATTAGATATTTACTCCCCTTGCCTTTGTGACACTGAAGATGTCATGTAATATCAGCCTCCAAGTCCTCAGGAGTCCTAGGGGCTGGATTTCAAGCTCTAACCTTTTGTTTTAGCTGGTCCCGCACATGCTCTATCTGTTTAAGTCCGAGCATAATAGTTCCGATCTTAGCAGTCATTGCCCGACGATTGATTCAAAGCCCGACCTTCTCCAAGTACCCTGTGACTATCTCTGATACGTTCGGTTCGAAACTCATCGGAAAGGAGAATAGACTGCCATAGTGTCAAAGTCCAAAAAAGGTAATGTGTTCCCCAGAAAACTAAAGTCTAACATATCTTCAGTTAAGGTTGGACCCGTTGCTGGTTTATGTATGGTCATATTTTGCTCTCGAAGACGTCGTCTCACTGTACTGTCACTTATGGCCATTCTACGTTCCTCATATAGTTGCATCACGTAGATGCCAATTACGCAGTGATGCCAGTGAAACGGTCACTTCCCTACAGTGACACGATTTCTTCCTGATCCAGATCTTCTTTGATATAAAGCAGTATCTAAAAACCATTTATTATCTGAACAGATGGACGACTCTAATTACGACATGCTAAATTAATATTTGCTGTACTAAAACCACAATTTGCGCAGCCTCAGTTTAAGTTGTGTTCGTTATTATTGAAAAGTAAACAAACTTACAACTTCAATCTAAGTTAACACCCACTTACATCAAACCCAATAAAAATGATGTCTAATGACAGATTACACGACTCAAATAATAACATAACATAACATAAACACTCACGCCTGTCACCCAGAGGGGTAGGCAGAGACTACGGACTTCCATTTGGCACGATCCTGACATACCTCTTTCGCCTCCTTTACATCCATATATCTACGCATACATGCTCGTCGGTTAAGGGTACTTCTAACGTGGCCCCTTTTCAAAATATCTGCAATTTGGTCGATAAACTTTTTTCTAGGGCGTCCCTTCCCGACTCGGCCGTTCACATCTGCCATATAAATTTGCTTTGTCACTCTTTCCTCATTCATTCTTTCTACATGACCAAACCACCGAAGCATTCCTTTCTTAATCCTGGTCACAACATCATCTTGCATACCACATTTACCTCTTATCATGCAATTTCTCACCCTGTCATTCAGATTCAACCCTAGCATACTCCTTAAAGACCGCATTACTACAGCATTTATTCTACTTTCGTGCTTCTTCTGCCACACCCAGCTTTCACTACCATACATTAAAGTGGGGACTAACACAGCATTATGAATTACCATACGTGCCTTTTTTGACACATTCTGGTTCTTCATAATAGAGTGTAGTGCCCCATTCACTCTATTCCCTACATTTACTCGTCGTTCTATATCCCTATCATATCTACCATCCCTGCTAAATACACATCCCAAATACACAAACTCATCCACTTGCTCAATTAACTCTCCTTCTATTCTTATTTCACATACCGTTTTGCTTTCTTCTCTTTCAAAAAACCATCACTTTCGTCTTACTTGCGTTCACTTTCATTCCCCTTTCTTTTAATTCCCAGTTCATTAATGTAACCATCATTTGCAACTCAGCCGCCGATGACGCAAATATGACTTGATCATCGGCATACAAAAGGCATTTGACGGTTAACTCGCCCATTCTTAACCCACATTCTTCATCTTTCAAAGTTTGCAAACACCTGTCCATAAATAGGTTGCACAGCCAAGGGGAAGCTACACAGCCCTGTATGACACCTTTTTGGATGCCAAACCAGTCCGAGTAGACCCCATTGATCCTGACACAAGCACTAGAGTCCCTATAAAGAGACCTTAATGCCAGTATCAAATCAGTGCTCAACCCATATGAGTTCAGTGTTTGCCATAACACATTCCTGTCCACTCTGTCATAACCTTTTCCAAGTCCATGAACGCACAAAAAACTTTCTGGTTTTTGGCCAAAAACTTCTCCGCAATCATGCGCATGGAAAAGACTTGATCTGTACACCCCATTCCCTTTCTAAAACCCGCTTGCACATCCCAAATTTTTCCATCAGTTTCTTTCATAACTCTTTCAATTAACACCTTAGCATACAGTTTACCCACAATACTAAGCAAGCTGATACCACGGTAGTTTTTGCAGTCCTGCTAAACCCGCCCCTTTTCCTTTATATATTGGTACTATAACTGCTTTACACCAGTCATCCGGTACCCGTTTTAATTCCCAACATAAATTAAACAAGGTGTACAGCAGGCCTGCCACCACTCCCTCTCCAGCCCTTAGCATCTCGAGTGATACTCTATCATATCCAGCTGCCTTACCTGCTTTCATGCTTTTCATTGCTTTCATTATTTCATCTACACTTATCGCCATACCCCTTTCCACTTCTTTCGGAATTTCTAGTTCATTTAATTCAGACGACTCTTCACTCATAAACACGCTTTCAAAGTATTCCTTTCATCTGTTTAAATTCGAAGCTTCACTTCATCATTCAGAATACATCCATTCTCGTCTCTTATAACATTCATTATAGGCTGTTTTGTATTTCCCCTGGCAGTTCCTACGAGTTTCCAGAACATTTTTATGTTAGCCTGGAAATTATCAGATATCCTTCTATCATTCTTATCCGTTCTTTCTTTCTTTTTTCTTTCAACAACTTCTTTTACTCTCTTATTTAGACGTCTAAATTCTGCCTTTTTTCTTTCAATCTCATCATTCATACCAGAAGAATTACCAGCTTTGGTTGCTAGTAAATCTAACCATGCTTTCTTATTTGATTCAACTTCCACCCGTACCTCATCATCCCACCACAACGTATTACTTTTCCTTTCATTTGTTCTCTTACTTACACCACATACTTCAGTGGCAGCATCCACCAAACCTTTCTTAATATTGTCCCACACAGTATTCAAGTCTAAATCATTCATACACAACTCATTCAAACATCTAATATTTCCTCTCAGTCTACATTTATACTTCTCTTTCACATCTTCATCTTGTAACTTCTCTATTCTTATACGCTGTAACGCAGTGGTAGACACAGATGTCCGATGCCGCCAACGCTTGAAAAGACTATTAATTCGACATAAGACCAAGTAATGATCCGTCCCTACGTTGGACCCCCCGGTAAACCCTTGTATCTACGACTGCGCTCCTCATTCTTTCATCCACAATTACGAAATCTATCATGCTTCTATCATCACCTCTTTCCCATGTATACATGTGAATCTTCTTATGACGAAAAAAAGTATTCGTCACAAAAAGATTCTTTTCCACACATACGGTGAGGAGGTCTTCACCATTCTCATTTATACTTTCATCACCAAACATTCCCAATATCCTTTCATAACCAGACCTCTTCACCCCAACCCTTCCATTAAAGTCTCCTAACATAATAATATTTTCATTTTCCTTACATTTTGTCAACACCATCCTTACCGTGTCCCAAAACTGCTCTCGGATGTAAGTGGGCTTAGATATGTCTGGGGCGTACACCCCTAGCAGGAACAGCTTCTTTAAGCCCACTTTAATTCGTATCCATAGCAGCCTCGGGCTTACACATTCATACTCTTTCACACATTGACCCATTCTTTCTGAAAGGATGAAACCGACACCCTGGCATGCCCGTTCGGCCTCGTCTACGCCAGACCAATACGCGGTATACGTGCCATGTGCTGTGGCATCCTTTCCCTTTCGTTTCGTCTCATTCACACATAACACATCTAATTCTTCTGTCATTCATCATTTCGCATACTTCATCCATCTTATCATTCATTCCTCCACATACATTCAGCGTAGCCAGACGGGTTTCCGCAATCCACTTTTCGCCCCTCCGGGAGACAGAACGTGACGGGTGGCGAACCTCGTCGCCGGTTTTTCTCCCGGAGATTCTTCGCACCCCTGCCCCATTGAAGGGGCGCCGGGAACTCGGGGCCATTTCTTTTGTTTTCTGAGTCATGGTGCGAACAAGGGGTGGTGGTAGATTTTACGCCGCTACCATACGGCGAGGAGCCG